GCGCGCGCTTGGCGCGCGCTCAGGTTCTAGCCCAGGCCGGGGGGGTGCTGGACGATCTTGGACAACGCTATCAAGCACAGGCGCGCGACGGCATCTGAGGAGCTTCTGGGGTGCTCCGCATGCTTCGTCAACTGGCTGTTGGAGGCACCTCTTGGGTGCCTCTTGGGGGGGCGTCTGAGGGTCCCTTGGGGGCATCGGTTCTGCAATCTGAAACCGTCATTGGCCGTCTTGGCTGCGTGGAGGCCCGACTTGAGGCCACCTGCGGCCAGATTGAGGCAATCCGGAAGCCTCCCGGGGGCCTCCTGGAAGCAGTTTTGATGCATTTGGGGCACTCTTGGGCTATCTTAAAACCTCTTGGACGTCTCCCAGGGGCCTTTGGGGCCCTCGGGGAGCTTTTGGGGTCCTCGTCGGACCACTTGGGGGCCTCTTGCAGCCTCCTGTGGGCCTTGTAGGGGGACCGCTCTGCTGTTGGGTCGCGTTCCCCTTCTCGGGCCTCTCTTTGGGCTCTTGGGGCCCTCTCGGGCCGTCTTGGGCGCCTCAAGCACCGTCTTGGGGCCCTCGCGGGCCGTCTTGGGGCCCTCTTGGAGGCCTCTTCCTCTATATGGGAGCGGTATTGGAAGCCTTTGGGGCCGTCTTGGAGCATCGGGATGCCAAAAGGCCGAAAAAAAAACCGTCAAAGCCCAATCGTAAAACAATGAGTTGTGCCTCTTGGGGCCACCTTGGGAGATCTCTTGGAGCCTCGTCGGCCCTCTTGGGAGCTTCTTGGGGGCCTCTTGGATCCGTTTGGGGGCCTCCTGGGATTTCCCGAGAACCTCTCGGGGTAGAAAGCTCGGATTCTCGGTTCATGTTTCCCTTCTTGGGCCTCTCTTGGGGCCGTCTTGGGGCCCTCTCGGACCGTCTTGGGCGCCTCAGGCACCGCCTTGGGGCCCTCGTGGGCCGCCCAGGGCCCTCTTGGAAGCCTCTTCGGCTATCTTGGAGCTGTCTGGGAGGCCTCTTCCTCATCCTCGTCCCCCTCCTCCTCCTCCCACTCCAGCTCTCTCTCCTCCTGATCTTCCTCCTCCTCCTGCAGCGTGTTCCGGAAGGCTCCCGCCGGAACATGCTGTGCACAAGTGCTTTCACTGCTCCCGCCACCGTGCCCTGGGTGGTGGGTCAGAGGCCTCATGGGTGTTGGTTTGGATCTCGTGGTTGGCCTGTCGGGGACGTCGTGAAGGCAGTTTCGCAGCTTCTCGGTAGCCGTTTTGGGACCGTTGTGGGGCCTCCTCGGGCTGCTTTGTGGCCTCTTTAGGCCTCGTTTTGCGGAATGGTCTTGGAGCCCGCGCCGAGGATCTGGAAAATGTCCGGGACCATCGCGGCGGCCTCCGAGGCCCGGGACGCCGAACCCCCGTGAAAACAGAGCGAAAATGAGCCCCGGTACTCGCATGGAGGGTCGGGCAGCTGTTTTCGGGCCCCTGGGTTAGAACCATCGCGCGCGCTTCACGCGCGCTCAGGTTCTAGCCCAGGCCGGGGGGGCGCTGGACGATCTTGGACAACGCTATCAAGCACAGGCGCGCGACGGCATCTGAGGAGCTTCTGGGGTGTTCCGCATGCTTCGTCAACTGGCTGTTGGAGGCACCTCTTGGGTGCTTCTGGGGGGGCGTCTGAGGGTCCCTTGGGGGCATCGGTTCTGCAATCTGAAGCCGTCATTGGCCGTCTTGGCTGCGTGGAGGCCCGACTTGAGGCCACCTGCGGCCAGATTGAGGCAATCCGGAAGCCTCTCAGGGGCCTCCTGGAAGCAGTTTTGATGCATTTGGGGCACTCTTGGGCTGTTTTAAAACCTCTTGGACGTCTCTCAGGGGCCTTGTGGGCCCTCGGGGAAGCTTTCGGGGTCCTCGTCGGACCACTTGGGGGCCTCTTGCGGCCTCCTGTGGGCCTTGTGGGGGGACCGCTCTGCTGTTGGGTCGCGTTCCCCTTCTTCGGCCTCTCTTGGGGCTCTTGGGGCCCTCTCGGGCCGTCTTGGGCGCCTCAAGCACCGTCTTGGGGCCCTCGCGGGCCGTCTTGGGGCCCTCTTGGAGGCCTCTTCCTCTATATGGGAGCGGTATTGGAAGCCTCTTGGGCCGTCTTGGAGCATCGGGATGCCAAAAAGCAGAAAAAAAACGTCAAAGCCCAATCGTAAAACATTGTGTTGTGCCTCTTGGGGCCACCTTGGGAGATCTCTTGGAACCTCGTCGGCCCTCTTGGGAGCTTCTTGGGGGCCTCTTGGATCCGATTGGGGGCCTCTTGGGACTTCCCGAGACCCTCTCGGGGTAGAAAGCTCGGATTCTCAGTTCGTGTTTCCCTTCTTGGGCCTCTCTTGGGGCCGTCTCGGGGCCCTCTCGGGCCGTCTTGGGCGCCTCAGGCACCGCCTTGGGGCCCTCGTGGGCCGCCCAGGGCCCTCTTGGAAGCCTCTTCAGCTATCTTGGAGCTGTCTGGGAGGCCTCTTCCTCCTCCTTGTCCCCCTCCTCCTCCTCCCACTCCAGCTCTCTCTCCTCCTGATCTTCCTCCTCCTCCTGCAGCGTGTTCCGGAAGGCTCCCGCCGGAACATGCTGTGCACAAGTGCTGTCACTGCTGCCGCCACCGTGCCCTGGGTGGTGGGTGGATCTCGTGGTTGGCCTGTCGGGGACGTTGTGAAGGCAGTTTCGCAGTTTCTCGGTAGCCGTTTTGGGACCGTTGTGGGGCCTCCTCGGGGCTGTTGTGTGGCCTCTGTAGGCCTCGTTTGGGCCTCCTGGGTGCCTGTTGGGGGCATCCTGGAGCCTCTTGGGGGCTCCTTGGGGCCTCCTGGGGCTCTCTTCAAGCCGGAGGGTCGAATTTTGGAGACGTGGTCCCCTTCTTGGGCGCATCTTGGGGCCGTCTTGGGGCTCTGTTGGGCTGTCTTGGGCGACTCTGGGGCCGTCTTGGGGCCCTCTTGGGCCGTCTTGGGGCGCTCTTGGGGGCCTATTGAGCCATCTTGGAACGTCGGACAGCCGAAAAGGCTGGAAGGCCAAAATCGGTCGAAAACCTTCGTAAAATTGACGATTTCGGCCTCTAGAAGCGCTCTGGAGAGGCGTCTTGAAACGTCGTGGAGTGCCTTGGGGCGCCTCTCGGGCCGTCTTGGGCCTATTTTGGGCGTCCTGGAGCGGTCTTTCGGCGACTCGGGGCCCGCTTGGGCCGTCTTGGGAGCCTCTGGAGGCCCTCCTGGCCCATGGGGGGTCGGAGGCGGCGGCCTCCGAGACCCAGGACGCGGACCCCCTGTAAAAACACAGGGAAAATGAGCCCCAGGCCCCCCATGGGGGGTGGAGGCACCTGTTCGGGGGCCCCCGGCCTCGCCCCCAGGTGTATATATAAATAATTAATATATATATATATATTATATCTAATACACACACACGCGCAGACATACATACATAATACATACATACATACATACATACATACATACATCATACAGACATACAATACATACTACATCATACATACATAATACATACATAATACATACATAACATATATATATATATATATATATATATATATGAGGGGACGATTGTGGTATAATGTGCGCTCCTCATGTTTTCGCTTCGGATAAGCGCGCAAGGGTTGATAATGTTTACTTCGTTTATCCTCCTGCTCCTGATCCTGCTTCTCCTGCTGCTCCTCCTCCTCCGAGTTGCCCTTCTCCTCCTCCTGCCCCCCCCATCCTCCTGCTGCTCATCATCTTCCACATCCTCAAGATGGCCCCGCGAGGCTCGCGAGGCCACCACTCGGAGATCCCCACGGACTGCTACAGATGCAATACTTCGCCCTGGTTCTGAGGCAGATGGGGGCGGCGACAAAGGGAAAGGGCGCAAGCATAATACTTTAACACCGACGCAGACAAGACGAATCAGGACTCGTCAACGTTGACATGCGCGAGCGGCGGGAGCCTGGCCAGAGAAACCGCGCGACGCAGGCCTGCGCTTCAAAGTGAATGCTGTTCTCTTGATCCGAGGTACCCTACGAGCGCGAAGACTGTCCAAGAGCGCTCTCGCAGCGGGCTTCTTCTGAGCACCGCGCTGGACGGCAGGAGCGGCGTCGCGCGCCGCTGGCTTTCCCTGCACGCACGCGGCGCGATCGGCAATCTACCGCGCAACCTTCTGCCGGGCTTCGCGCAGCGGAAGTCGCGCAGGCGCCAAAACGTCGGTGCCGCACTGCGCCTGGAGTGAGCAGTAATCATTCCACTCATCCCGAGGAAAAGCCCAAGCCAGAATGCTTCGCGATAGCACGTTGGCCTGTCGCAGCTGCCGCAGCGTCGGCGAATACAGCGCGCAACAGTGGGCCTGCAGCTTGCCCAGGAATCCAATTCTAAGTTGAAGCTCCGCCGTCGACGCGTAGATGTCCCCCTGATTGCGAAACCACGTGTTGCTCTCGTGGTTGAAGGATTCGTTAACCGACGTGCCAGATCCAAGCAGAGCTAAGCGCGCCGCCGGCAAGGAATGCCTGAACCGGAGGTTGTTAAAAAACCATTGCATCCGAGCTGAAGCGGTAGCATTGTAAAGCAACCTCTTAAGCTGAACGTTGTTCACGTGAGTGCGACGGGCAAGCTCTTCTGGAACCAACGCACTCAACGCGGCGATAGATTCTATGAACTCATGCGTCGTTCTCCATGGCAGCTCGGCGTTCACATTATCAATCACATATTGAGCTCGCGGCTTCGACAGAGAATGGTCGAGTATCTGCCGTCGCGCGCGCTCCTCTATGGGTCGCAGAACAGGCGCGTTCGTTCCGTCGAACGGCGCCCCCCAGAATTGCGCCGGCAGCGTGCTGTCTACCTTCGTGAACTTAACCATGATTATGCGCAATAGCTTCGATCCCACTGTCTTTTCCCTCCAGTGCGTCTCCTCGTACGTGATGGGCAAATGAACCGGGTCGAGGCTCAGATAAACTAGGTTGGAGAAGCACGAGCTTCGCAACGCGCGGTATAACGCGCTGCTCGGCTGGTCGCTGCCAACGGACACAGTCTGCGATCTGCACGCCTCCGACCAACGACCTGCAATCGCTCCGGCTATTTCGTCAGATGCCTCGTCCCTCGTCAAGAAAACGCCGAGCGCCGCGCCCGTTCGACCCGCAAGGGTCAGCACGCGGCGCTTGGCGTCAACGTCTGGCACGGGCGCTGCGTCTCGCACTGCTTGGGAGGACCGATCGTCTGCTTGGCCCTTGACCCTGCGCAGAATGCGGATGGCGGCGTCCATGGAGACGTGGAGGAATTCTTCATGTTTCCGGCATTCCTCCATCAACGCAGCGCTGCGCTTCTCTACGTGCACGCTGTTGAACACGTCTTCCATGAGCTTTAGCCAGTGGTCGACGTGCGTCGGCAGCATGCTACTCAACTCAGAGCCCTGCTCCACGACGCGAGCGCACGTCCGCAGCATCGCCGGGCAAACGCGCCCATGGTGGCGCAAGGATTCCTGCATCACTATGTCCGCGAAGCCACGGGTATAGTAAGTGTACCCCACTCGTCTGCACGCGAGACTCCGCCCTACTGCAGCTTTGTTATGATACGACGGCCCGTCGTCGTCGAGAACAAGGACAACGTCTTTGTCAACCGCGTTCTGTCCGCGATGAACAGCGGGAGATACTGTCTCGCGCATGGTCGTCGCAGACCGCTTCAGCAGGTTGCCGATTGGAGCTCGCAGGAGCCAGTCGTTATCGAACAGCGCGCACACGACTATGAACTGCTTCGTACCAGACGCCACGAAGCGCGTCTCCCTGACGTGGTACTTGGAGACGTGAGCGCGTAAGAGCAGCTGCGTCGAGAACGATCGGAACGGGCATAGGCCGCAAGCAAATCTACACTTGCCCTCGCTGTCCCGCTTGGGGCGCATGAGCGAAACCCCCGTGGCGAAGCCCTTAACTTCCTTCTCCAGGCAATCAAACAACTCTGTCCGCACAGCCGTTTCGCCTTCGTCCCCGCTCGGGGATGCAGGAGCATCCACCAAGCCCGCGTCCGTCAGCTCGTGCGGCTCGCGCTGCTCGGCCGCGAGGCACACCCAGCCCTCGCCGACATCGTCGGCTTTTCTCTTGCCTCTGATCCGTCTCCCAGTCGGCGCGCGCGCGACCTCGGCGCCTTCATGCCCATTGCGAGCGGGTGCGCCGTGCATGTAAGATGGCGCAGGAGGGCGGCGGGGAGAAACAAAAACACAGGGCGGCAAAGCCGACCCAGAAGTGATATGGCAGAGAAAACACAGGGCGGCAAAGCCGACCCACGATGAACACATGTCTTGAGCCGGAGAAAGATGGAGAGGTAAGCAGCGATTCATTAGTTGCACTGACGTCGAATATGTAAGAGCCCGACTACGGGGGTGCATCGAGCGACATAACGGCTCCACGCCACGTTGGGCACATGGGAAAGTGGGGAGAACATCTGGAGATGATGAGACATCGCGCTTGTGTCGGCGCAATGCGTCGATCGAAAGTCGCGGCCCGCGCTCGACGGAGGCCCGCGCGATGGCGTCAGCGCCGCCGCGCCTCCCTGAGCCCCAGTCGCGGGCGCGAGTCGGCCCACGTCCCCCCTAGCTCTCAAGCTGCTTGTCGCTTGTGCATTCTGAGCATTTCGGTAGTGAACTCTATGTTCAGGGTGTCTTCCCAGGCGACGCAAACTCCGCTGCACCGCGCGCATGCGAAGACGTCGCTGCGAGGTTCCAATCTCGGCGCCAACATTGCCCACGCGGAGGTCGTCGCGCGCAAATGGGTCACCTCGGGGAACGGAAATGATCTCACCGTGGCCACGCACCCCTCCAGATAGTGGCCGATGCCGTCGACGTCGCCGTCATCCAACCCGCAAATGAAACAGCGATCGTGAGCGGGGCTGGGGGCCGCCACCGAAGCAAGTTCTGCGTTGGCAGGCTGAAACCAGCGAGGCACAACAGCAAGGACTCCGGGCAGTCCGGCGCCGTGCGGGCCACGCGAGGCCCTGGGCCTGCTCGACCTGAGAGGCCTCACCAGTACAAACGTTTTGTCTGGGCGAAGCTGTTGGCCCCCTGCAAAACGACGCGCTAGTGTCCGTCTACGCACGGCGGGGAAGAATGACAGAATTCTGTAGCATACTTCATCTGATACCAGGGATACCATCAGCGCGAAAGCCTCGATGTCAGCGGCGTCGTCTCTTTCCGGAGACGATGGAGGGGTTCGCGCTGCAGCCTCGCGCGCAGCCCGCGAGGACATTCGACGCCTCCTGCGCGCAGGCGTCAGCGAGCGGGCGCCAGACACAGCGCGCCGCTGGCGAGCCCTCCCGCGCGGAGTCGGGTCGCCGAACTCAGGGGAGTTCTGGCTCAGAAACGGGAAACCGGCAGCGCGCTGGTCGTCGGTGGCCATGGCGCCGAAGTGCGAAAGAGAGGTCACAGGACAGCAATGCTGATCCACAATCAGGTAAAAAGCGGGGAAGTCAAAACAGGCCGGCAATGCCGAGTCACGTTTGCTATAATCTTGAGCCGATGAAGCAAGCGGCCGCGCTGATTCCCCCCCCCCCCCGCCTCGCCGGAACGCGCGCCTGGGAAAAATTGTATTCTATGCTACTCCCGAGCGGACTCTGCGCGCGTCGCCTGTTGGGCAGTGCGACTTGCGCCCGCATTCGCTGCGCGATGATGGCGTGCAATGCATACTGTTTCTGGGTGCTCCCTCCTCGCTTTGGCGGTTGTGAATATGAATTGGATATCCTTTTTTAGAAGACCTAGCGTCGCACCCATGCGTTCCTTCATGCTAAAGCATCACTACTTCCGCGGGGCATGAGAGCACGCGGCTGTCACCGTGGCCCCCGCAGAACCCACGCGCGCAATTCTCAGCCGCTGCAAGTCGGCATTCGGCAATTCCAACGGCACCTCAAGAGGGCGGCGCGCCGTCGCCGCGGCCTCGCCAGGGCGCGACCTCCACTGATGTCCGGCGAAACGCATGACCGAAATTGGCCGCGGTGCTCAGGCAATAAGGCATGCGCGCCGCCACGACTGGCCGTCGCCAGCCGCCCGCAGGGTCTATCTCGCGGGCGTCTTCCGACGCCATTGCCCGCAACTCTCGGGACCTCGTGCGCTGAATGGCCATGAGCTCCTCGATCTCTGGGATCACCGGCACGTCGTCTACAAATGGCTGGTCACCGTTGTCCGGACGCAGGCAGACCACATACATCGCGGCCACGCGGGCGCCGTAGTACTGCTCCAACATCCACCTGTATATGTTAAGCTGCACCCGGTAATGATTTCCCTGGCAGTCTGGCAATCGGCCCAATGGAAACTTCATGTTCTCCCATTGGTTCGTGAACTTCGAACGTAAATTCTTCGCCCGCTTCCAATCGTATATGTACAGACTGCCCGCGGAGTCTCGAGCCACGAAGTCGATTGACCCAGCAAGCCCCTCGTGCTCCGCGAAGATGGCCCATTCGGTGCGGAAAGCCGCCAGACCTTTCAGCGCGCCCAAGAATTTCGAGAACAACTGGAATTCTACGGCATCGCGGGGCACCAGGACGCGGTTGAGGTGGGCCTCGAACGTCCAGTGCATCCAGGTGCCCCGCCTAGCCGCCTCTTCTTTGTTTAGGCGCCATTTCTCCACGATCTCCTGATCCGAGAGAGATAAACTCTCCATCAGGCATGCCAGGCGGGGTGCCGCTCTCGCAGTAGCCTTCACCTCGGCGCAGATCTCGGCGTCGCAGGCCCCGTGCGAAACAAGTAAGTCGTGCAAGCAAGCAGCCTCCGGCATGGTCCGCAGCTTTGCGACCACGTATTCGGGGCGAGGGTGGCGCAAATAATCAGGTCGAGGCCAGTTCCGCCCGCTCCGCATCTTCTCGATCACTGCGACAGCGTCGAAACCTCGAGAATACTCGTGCATCAACCCCGTCACTGACCCATGGATTCGCACGCCGCGAATGTAGTAGGAGTGCGACTCCTCGACGAAGTGCAGCTGGGCGTCCCGAGGGTGCGCGTTGAGTCGCTCGAGTAGGCGGATCTTCGGAAGACGCGGCAGCTCGAGGGAGAAATCACACGGAACTTGGGGCACCTGAGCGCCGGGCCACCCCACCGGCGGCAACGGGCAGAACAAGCGCAAAGATCTGCGCCGCATTGCCTCCTCTCGGTTCGCCGATACCCGGGCTGCCTCCTGCGGCGCGAGCAAGCCCGACGACGACGCCGACCCATAGGGGCCCGCTCGTTCGCGAGCTGCGCGCCGACGGATGAGTGCGCCCAGCCGGTTAGCTTCGATGATCCCCGAAGTCGTGCCCCATGGAAGAGGGCGGCCGCCCTCGGGCCCCGGCCTCTGTGCGCCGAGCTCCACCAACACGAACCACTTGTGCTCCTCGACGTCCGGAATGTCGCCCCACGCGCGCCACTCGCGAACCGCTGGCAGGCGTGCTCGGCGGTCAATCACAGTGGCGCTGCCTGGCCGCAGGATAACGGCCGTGAAGTGGCCGACGCTCGCGGCCAATTCAGATTTGCGCCGCGGCGGCTCCCACTTGACGTAACGCCCAGGGCCGGTCGGGCCCCGCGGCTGCTGGATCAGGGCGAGGCCGAGGTGTGACAGCCATTGGTCCCCGTGCTCGAGCGCGCGGAATGGGCCTTGCACGCTGGTCGGCACGCGTGCGCCCAACGCATTCAGAGCCAAGCTGAGACACGCATTGGATGCGTCTTCCCCATGCACCATTCCTCCCAGCGGATCGTCGTCGGCGCTCACGAAGCACCCGTCGGCCGCGGTCCCCCGCGATCCCCGTCCAGTTGTCAAATCGACGTCGAATGCGCATTCACTGCTGTTAGTGATGTGCAACAGCGCGCCCGACTGCCCCGACGCGGCGGGCCCGCTGCGCCGCTGGCAGAACATGTCGGCTGAAACCTCTCCACACGATCGCCGAAGAGGCCCCTGGGAGAACAGCCGCAGCGCAGCAGTGGCCCCGCGTATGACAGAAATATTTCCCGGGCAAGAGTGAGCACGCACCCGGCCGCGAAGCCTGCAGGCGCACGACGGTCAGAGAGAAGCCGAAGTGGTCGGCGACGTCTGCGAAGCGACGCTCCGCACCCCGAGGAACGGGAAATCGCGCGCAGTAGTCGATGCAGCCGCAGAAGTCCTGCGTCAGGATGCTGTAGGCGAGCAGGATGCAGCTTCCATCTTGTAGGAGAGCTCGACAGCCGCGCACGGCGGGCGGCGAAGGCTCTACCCAGACGCCGAGCTCTTCGGCCGCCGCCAATTCCGTCGCACTTACCGGCACCTCGTCGAGAAGTCGCGACATGTCCCTGCGCCAAGCAGAAACCTTGGCCTCCCACTGCCGCTTGCTGACGCCAGGAAGGAAGGGGTCTGGGGTCGCGGGCCTCTCGTCATCTCCCAGCTCGCCAGTGCTACTAAGAAGCTGGACGGATACATACTCGATGGAGCGTTTGACCCCAGAAACACATTGCAATCGCCTTCCGCGCGGGTCGGCACATTCGACAACCGCGAGCGCTTCGCACATGCCAGGTAGCGCGCGGCGGGGCGATGAGGTGCCAGGGCGGCAAGGCCGACCCACAGTGAAATACGGGTAATTATGAAGCGAAGAGAGCACAGGGCGGCAAAGCCGACCCACGTACCACGCACGACTTGAGCCGACGCGGCGAGCGGCGCCCCAGAAGGCACGCAGATACACCTGTGAAGGCAGATCTGCGCAGAACATCGCAGTAAATCGGCTTGTCCAAGTTTCTTCAGAAAACGCATGAGGTCATATCTAGTATAGTGATGACTGTATGCGAATATTGACTGACTTTGTATTTCCTCTACTGGATGTAAGCCAACATGCAAGCAGTGCGGATCGGCGAAGCGAACGGCAACGCAACGGGGCCTGTTGCCCCGCGGGCCTCGGCGAAGCGAGGATCGGTGAAACAGAATGCGTTGCCCGGGCCTCATGCCATCATATTCAAGAGCGCTGCCAAGGGCTTGGCGTCGCCGCTGTCTTCGGCGGCCGCCTGCGCCGCCGGAGCCAAATCAATGTGAAACGTGACTGCTAGCCTCGAGTCTCGCCCGGCGAGGACGGCATCATGGATCTCTGCCAGACTCACCTCGCCGACTTGGCCATGAAAATGAATCGTCGCCTTGTCGAGCTCCGCTCCCACGTGGACGAGTGCGCACGATGGCGAC